GCGGAAAAGAAACCAACCACAGAAGCCAAGAAGTCCATTAGTGATGTTTTTAACCAGGCGGAAAAGAAACCAACCACAGAAGCCAAGAAGCCCACTAGTGATGTTTTTAACCAGGCGGAAAAGAAGCCAACCACAGAAGCCAAGAAGCCCATTAGTGATGTTTCTAACCAGGTGGAAAAGAAACCAATTACAGAAGCCAAGAAACCCATTAGTGATGTTCTCAACCAGGCGGAAAAGAAACCAGCCACAGAAGCCAAGAAGGCCGTTAGTGATGTTCCTAACCAGGTGGAAAAGAAACCAACCACAGAAGCCAAGAAGGCCGTTAGTGATGTTTCTAATCAGGTGGAAAAGAAACCAACCATAGAAGCCAAAAAGTCCGTTAGTGATGTAAATAGCGAGACGGAAAAGAAACCAACCACAGAAGCCAAGAAGGCCGTTAGTGATGTTTCTAACCAGGTGGAAAAGAAAGCAACCCCAGATGTCAAGAAGTCCACCGGTGATGTCAAGAACGAGATGGACAAGAAGGCAAGCACAGATGGCAACAAAAGTAACGATATGGAACAAAAAGCTACCACAGATATCAAGATGTCCGCTATTGATATAAATTTTGAGATGGAAGAGGAAGAAAGCACAGATACGGAGTCCCCTGTTGAGGATATAAACGACGAGATGGAAGAGGAAGAAACATCAGATGTCGAGACTTCCGCTGATGATGATGTAAGTGAGGAGGTTAGGGAACAGAGAAAAAAAGAGGCGGAGCAGAGAAAAAAGTTGGCGGAGCAGAGAAAAAAAGAGATGGAACAGAAAGAAAAAGAGATGGAAGAGAAGAAAGAGATGGAAAGGATGAAAGCCATGGAAATGATGCAGCAGATGGAGGAAATGATGAAGGAGATGGAGGACAGGAAGAAAGAGATGGAGGTAATGAAGGAAGAGTTAGAAATGGAGGAAGAGATGGAAAGGAAGAGAGAGATAGAAAGGAAGAGAGAGATGGAGGAAAGGAAGAGAGAGATGGAACGTAAAGCAGCTGAAGATGCCAAGGAAGAGGAATACTACAACTGGGTCCATGTTGAATGCGGGAGATTAAGTGCCAGTGCTATAAAGCAGCAAAAGCTGGTTGAACACCAATATAAACAGCTACAAGTATAGTCTCCACCTTAATCAGCACTGCAGTAGCTTAATGAAACAATGCTTTTATCAGAGGATTCCTAATAGAGAATTTGATATCATACAGGTACTGAAGAACATCTTTTCTGCTGCAAAAGCAGATTTGGAATTAATGCGAACGAAGCATCACCAGGAGTTCGACGATATAGGTACATCTTTTTAAAACTATAACGGGTTTAAAATCTTGGTTGCCCTGGAAAGAAAGAAATGAATTCGATTGAACACCTAGCATGAATTTCTTCTGTCAGGGAAGCACTTGCGTAATTTGGCTCAACAAGCATCGGGTTACAAAAAAGTTGTAGACGAAAACCGAAAGCTATATAATCTAGTGCAGGACCTCAAAGGAAATATCAGGGTCTACTGCAGATCGAGACCATTTTTAACTACCACTACTAAAAAGAGCGCTGTGGATTGCATCGATGAGACGAATGTGGCGGTTATCACGATCGGGAAAGGTGGAAAAGAGACTCGGAAAGTGTACACTTTTAATAGAGTTTTTAGTCTAACTGCAACTCAAGGTCGTTCATGTCTCCAACATCTTTGATTTCTTTAGGATCACAGTACGTATTTCTCTTTCCTTATCTGTTCTGTTTTCGCTTTCTTGTAGCCGAAGTATACAAAGACACCCAACCGCTGATCCGCTCTGTCCTTGATGGATACAACATTTGCATATTTGCATATGGTCAAACGGGATCAGGGAAAACTTTCACAATGGTATGTAGGTCATGCATGGTTTCATTAACACATCATGTGTCGTTACTGTAACATTTTCCTTACATTATGTGTTTGCAGACTGGACCTGAAAACCTTACACCAGAAACCATGGGTGTAAACTACAGGGCATTGAATGATCTGTTTGAAATCCAACAGCAGCGGAAGGAGATGATTACCTATCTAGTTCGGGTCCAAATGCTCGAAATTTACAACGAAACAGTCAGGGATCTCCTTTCGCCAAACGGAACTACCAAGAAATATCCTTTCTATGGTTATAGCTGTTTCCATCTTCACATATCTCTGTCTGTCTCTTTTTGTTGTCTTAATCACTGACCACATTAGACATTCGACTTGGTGCACAAGATGGTATAAATGTACCAGATGCAGAGCTTATCCCAGTTTCAACAACAGAAGATGTTATACATTTAATGACCCTTGGACACAAAAATCGCGCTGTGGGTTCTACTGCAATGAATGATCGTAGTAGTCGCTCTCACAGGTACCCTCATCCTTATTCTTTTACCACTTTCGGTTATGTGAACAATGAGAAAAGATTATGCAGCAAATAACTGGAACCACCTTTATGATATTTTCGCAGTTGCGTTACGGTTCACGTTAGCGGAAAGGACTTGACATCCGGTTCAACTGTTAGAGGCTGTATGCATTTGGTTGATCTTGCAGGAAGTGAAAGAGCTGACAAGACAGAGGCTACAGGTGATAGATTAAAGGAGGCAACACATATTAATAAGTCACTTTCAGCTTTAGGAGACGTTATAGCCTCTCTTTCCCAAAAGAATGCACATGTTCCTTATAGGAACAGTAAACTCACTCTGTTGCTCCAAGATGCTCTTGGTAAGCCCTTTTTATGCTCTTCTTTTCGTTATTTATCTGACTGATTAAGCTCATGAGTCTCATCAATCTACCAGGTGGGCAAGCCAAGACCCTGATGTTTATTCATGTAAGTCCTGATCCCGATACAGTTGGAGAAACAATCAGCACACTGAAATTTGCTGAAAGGGTGTCTACCGTTGAGCTTGGGGCTGCTAAATCCAACAAAGATATCATAGATCTGAAGGAGTTGAAAGATCAGGTTGCTGCTCTTAAGGCAGCCTTAGCCAAGGAGGGAGGGGATATTAATATTAGTAATGTAGAGGTATGCATACAATTTCTATTTGAAATCTTTATGTTAGTCGTCCATGATACTGCTGAATTATGGTTTGGTTTTCCGATGAGTACGTTAATGTTAAATAGACAATTTTACAGATTCAGACATCTATCAGTTTACAAAATCAAACAGTCTTATTGATTCTGCTTTCAAACTTCAGCACTGTCTCTGTGTACGTTTAGGATATGTATCTTATGTTCATATAGACTCGTAAAATATTTGGATATGTATCTTACGTTCATAAATATAACCCAAGACGTAACAAACTTGCAACACGTGCTATCAAGTGTTGTTCCTTTGGGTATTCGCTCGACTAAACAAGGCTATCGTTGTTATAATCTACCATTTAACATGTGACGATGACACCTTCAATGAGTCGAATCCCTTCTTTGTCAAACCAACGAATACTGATTCTGTTGCATCTTCCATTCCACCACTCAATAAATTTGGTTAGAAATATAAGACGTGATGAATTACAATTACAGGAGAATGTGGCTGATGAAGACGAAGAGGAAGATCCTGGCACGGCATCGAAAGCCAAGAAAGCTGGTCCTGCGCAAGCAAAGGGCCCAAGCAGGTACATCACATACTCCCTCCATTCCAAGGAAATAGATTCATTTTCAAATGTGAGGTCTAATGGAGTAATTTTGAATACAAGTATTTATGTAGCTATAACTTGTGTACAGTGCTCCTGCTGCCAAGAGTAGTCCAGCACCAGCAGCAAAATCGGGAAAACCCGCGGCGGCTCCGAAGAAAGCTGCTCCTGATGCTAAGAAAAAAGGTGGGAAGTAAGTTTGTGTTGTATGGTAGATGTGTCTTGCTTCCAATTCTTATAGCAAAGAGTGAGTGAGAGATGATGAATGTGTATGTGTATATATGTATATGTATATATATATGTAGTTAGGCAGAAGACAGATTGGGCATATGGAAGTGGATTTTTGGGTGGTATTCCATGAGTTTTTTCTGGGAGAAAACTGGAGTTTGAGGTTGTGATACTGGGAAGAATCACTTTGATTCTGTATGTATGTATGTATGTATGTATGTAATAGATTGTATATTTTCTTGCATTCTCATGGGTTTCTTTTTTTATTAACCTGGATATCCAAGCCGCTATGCGAGCCGACTAATCCCAGGACGACCACATGCTTTGTAGATAGCCCGAAGTCACTGCATTTAAACTTCCGTGGGCACAAGAGGATTTTTATTCCTCCTTGGATTTGAACCTGTCCACCTAGTACTTTTGACATTTGAAACCAAACTCAAACCAATCAGACACCACCTTTGTCCAGTTTGAAATACTGCCAATAGAAGAAACACGATTCCAAAAGAATGCTTCTATTTTAGGTCGAAACATTCGGTATTTTTGGCTGCATAAACGAAAGAAAATGACGTCTATTTCTATTTTAGTTTGTTACAAAATAAGTGTTACATGTCTACTCTTCTATTATATCCTTAAATACGAGATGACAAAAATTAAGTTAAATTCTTGCCCGTATTTAGATGGAATTTTTATGAAAATGTTGAATCCAGAAACTACAAACTCCCAGCCTCACACCATTGAGTTGTAGGAATCACCATCACTCCAACAATCTAAATCTTCTCCAAAATAACAACACATTTAAGATTGCTTAACCATCACAACAAAAAATACTGTTTCGCGATTTCTAGCTGCTCAATTTAAGAAAGTTGAATAAAATAAAAATTCATCCCCATTCGCATAATTCGATAGAAAACAGCATTCATCTCAAATTTGCTCGTTAATTATGTATCACTTTGAAAATAAACAGGTTAAGATAACTCCTCTTGTGTCGGGAGGGAGCTCAGAAAACAAAATTTGACGCCTCACCGAGAGAACCTGGATGATGACCAAGTCTTTGAACCACTAGTAGCGGAAGGTCGCCACTTGTCGCTTGTTGGCGCCCCACGATCATCCTTCTTACCGGCGCCCCATCTATCAGATTCTGCAGGCGGAGGTGGTGCCTGCCCTGATGGCTCACTTCTACGAAACCTAGGCACATACTTCCCACCAGAAGATCCCGAGCCTGCTGCTGCCAGTGCTGGTGCTGGTGCCGCTGCGGGAGCAATAGATCCTGCTCCAAGAATCTCGGAAGGCCTGGCAGGCATGTCGATTGGTGTTCCCCTTAAGATGGCTTCTTTTCTAAGTCTCTCTCGTTCCTCTAGCTCCTGCTCTCTTTGCCTCTGCTTTTCAGCGATTTCATCCAACTTTGCCCTTCGCTCAGCCTCCTCTTTCTTTCTCCTTTCAAGCTCTGTATATTCCAAACATGTGGATTAACAAAACAAAATAACATTACTTCGTGGGGCAATCCGCATTTTTACATTGTCATGTTTTGTCCAGCTTACCAAACATTATACAGACAACTTGTTCAGTCCTGTCCTAATCATACCAAACACCAGACAACTAAACTAGTCTAGTCAAGTCCAATCTGCATACTAAATGCACCCTAAGGTTATATGGTCAACTGACATGCTTTTTGGGAGAGAAATACCTTCACGTTTGCGAGCTTCTTCCTCTTCATGCAACTTTTTCAGTCTTTCCTCTTCAGTCCTCACCCAGTACAGCATCTTCCTCTTGATTTCCCTCTCTTCTTTTCGTGCCTGAAGAACTTGGCTGAGTCGTTCTTCCCTCTCGGATCTCATTCTGTCATATTCTCCCCGACGGCACTTCATGACTCTTTCCTGAAATTGCATCTGCACAAGATATGCAAAACAATTGAAACAACATTGTGCCAACATGATAGGAAATACGAGAAAAGAGAGGTTGTAGAATTCAGTTATCCTCGACCATTAGTTGTACGTTTCTATATATATATATATATATATATATATTATCAACCTTTGTTTTTTACCAAGTTGAGACAATTCTCAACCACATTGTGCTAGGGACATTAGGTTAAATTAAAATAGTGAACTAGAAGAAATAGAATCTACATTGAAAGTTGAGAACTATTATATTCTCCTACAAGTAGTACTCCCTCTGACCCAAAATAAGTATCCACATTTCTACCTTAGTTTGTCCCAAATAAGTGTCCACTTTTGAAAGTGCCTACTCTCCAATTCTACCCTTAATTACGAGATAAAGAAAATCAGTACTCCCTCTAGTTATTAAGGGTAAAATTGTAATTCAGTTATTTAAGCAAGTGTAATAACTATAAATTTCTAAACTCTGTGCTTTTCCATTCTGTACATTCATTTTGGGACGGACGGAATTAGTGACACAAATCCCACCCGAGTCAAACAATCACCAAAAAAAGTAGTGTAAAGAAATGGACAGCCGGAATGGTAAAATAAAACTCAATAAACAAACCTTATGTTCCATAACCCGATGAAGCCTATACTTTTCCTTGACATCTCCATCATGACGGCCCCTGCTCAGCTCAACCTCAAGCTGAATAAAGCACACAAATTATTGAAGACGACCAATGTAATTATCATGTTATAGTAACGTAAATAGCAGAATAAACCCATCGTTAAGTCCTCTCTCAGCTTCAATATGTTGTGCAAATATAAGATAGTTTCACAAAATACCTGCTGTTGACGTTCATGATGCAGTTTCTCTTCACCCAGACGACGTTCGTACGCGGCTTCAATCAAGGGTGCCGCCTCTTCTCTCTTTGCTCTTTCAAAGTGATCCATTGTTTTAATTAGTTTTTGTAATTTTTTCTCCATTTCCTGCCTTTCTCTGACTTGCTCCTGAAGTGCTAGCTCCATTAAAGTTTGCTTTGTCACTTTCTCCTGTTTAGACAAAAAAATGTCATCCAAGAGGGTTCCAACCATGTAAAAAGGTGACAGTATTGAAGATGGAAGCTACTCACTCCCTCAATGATTGGCTTCTTTCCCTTCTTTTTGATGCGCTTCTCAACGTCATTTAGTAAAGCCTGTGCTTCTTCACGCTCACGCTCCTCAATTTCCCTGAGGATTCTTTGGTTCTTCCTTTCTTGAAACTCGGTTGCAAGCCTCATCTGTTCTGCCTCTTCAGCTTTTTTCTGCTGTTTTAGTCTTTTTGTCTCCTCCTCTCGTTCCTTGATGAACGATTTAATTCAGAATCATAGATAAATAAACCACAGCCAACATGGAAGAATTAAGCAGAGTATCAAACATAAAATATGTAGTGAAATTAATACCATTTCAATTAGCTGTCGTTCCTGGTCTTCCTTCCGCTTCTCAATAATCGTTTTTCGAGCAAGAAGCCTTTTGTGCTCTTTATCTATTATCTCTGCTAAACTTGGCAGCATGTCACTCAATTTAGATACTCGGCTTGGTGAAGGATTTATCATCAACCGTGACTTGGTTAAATTTGTACCAAGTACACCTAAGTGGTTTTGTAGATGGTCAGATTCGAATCCCTGGAGGCAGGAGAGGAATTGTCACTATCAAAAGAGTGGAAAATACAGCAGAAACTAAGAAATACTTCCAGAAACATATGAATGTCCAGTAGAAGTCATCAAGTCGCTGTGCAGAAACAAGGTTAAACATATGATGCTATAACATTCTACATTCGATGAGGATTGAAGGCCATTAGAATAGATTGAAAGTAGATGTCCAGACAAGAAGGAAAGATTGGGTAACGAACATTCAAGAATGTTGACCAGACCCTACCTAACCTATGATAACAAAAACGACTAAAAAAAATGGCATGAAAAAAGGGGCAATATAACTGCTCTATATCATTGTGCCCCCTCCCAAACCTGAATACCATCTGTATGTTGATTTATTATCATACTTGCTGACATTCTACAACAATATGGTTGAGCTTAGCTATTCAAACCATGAAAGTGGCATGAAAAAGGGGCAACCCTTTTGACGTACATAGTTGTTAATTAAAATCACAATATATTTCTGTTAGTTTCGTCATGGGAAAGATAGAGGCATGCAAAATATTAATTAGATAAATGGACTAACCAAGTCACCAAATATAATTGCACCCTTCAGATGGTCAACTTTTATTGCAACGAACTTATGTTTGACAGCATCAACAAGGATCCTCTCCACTGCCGAAAAGTCAAAGAAAGGGACCATCTTGGTTAACGTCTCAACTTTCATGGTCTGATACACATGGGATACCTGGAACAGAAAAGATAAGTAACATTAATCTGTATTTATGAAAACAATAATACAAAAATGAATAAAATGAACTGTACACAAAATACTCACTTTTCCCAAGACAAGAGAAATAAAAAATAAAGAAACTTAATAATTCACCTGTTGCAGCAATCTTAAGGTAGCAACTTTTTCCAAAGCAGGAATGTACTGAGACAGTTGCACTTCCGGTACAGAAGATGCTGAAGATAGTTTACCTCCAAGTTTTGAGATCTTTGTCAACAAAGGTTGTACTTTTGATGCCAAATCCAGAGGCAGAAACTCATTCTCCAAAAGATGGTAGAGATCTTTGACTTCCTGGGTTACATAGGTCATTACACCTTTGGAAACCTGTAAAAGGACAACGATGTTCCAAAATTAAGCATACAAGGAAACTAATTTCAGCTTCCATAAAAAGCATGAGAAATAAAAATAGGGGAAACAATAATGTGCCTAATTGGCTTGTGACCTCCAATTCCAAGAAGATTGGAAATAAAATTACTAATGCATGCCTTAAACTTGACATAATGGTAAGTATCCTTAATAATTTGTGAACTTATACCTTCTCAACTCAGCAATGAACACACTTGATCAGCCTTATCATTGTGTTGTGGCCAAACTCATAACAATTGAAGCATGAACAGAACTCTCAACATTACACGTGCATATAATACAAAACAACATTATCGCCTTGTAAAGCATATATATGAACACGGAACATTTAAACTTTTCCCGTTGGACTATTGGTAACAATAATTTTCTTCAGTGAACTCTTAATTTGCCCATTGCACTATTAATAACAAAAAATTTCTTCAGTGAACTCTTAATTTACAGAGGTGACTCCACATAGGATCCTTATCATTTACAATCGAACGCTTTCTTGAGCATCCATACCAACATCAGCAATGGGCTACAAAGCTTATAAGAAAACCATGGACACCTTGCCTAGAGCAAACACATGCTAATAAAAAGATGAATAGAGTCCGTTTCACTAGCATTTTTACATCACGGTTTCCAAACAACAAACACCATTAACGATACACAAACAATTAAGATATTGCTCATTAACACCATACATATGTACATTATGTAAGACAAAAACCACTGAAACTCATGCTGAAATGGGTCCTATTGTGCCAAGAAAAAACGATATATAATATACGTATCGCTTACAATGGGTTCCATAAATAAGTACTATATTTGAATGACCACCATTCTCAAAATGCTAGGAGTTATATTCTTTAATGTTTTTATCAGTTTGTTGGTCTGTTTTAACAATTACGAAGTTAAACCGCAATCACAAAGAAGCGATATAAGCTATTCTGATGGTACTCCTAACAACATAGAATAAAAGAAGATATATAACTAGCAGATCAAAAGGATGAGTTGGAACGTGGCATGTCTCACACAAGGAATAAAGATATATAACACAGGCATCAAGTAATTGAATAACAAATAAGGACATCAGAAAGCTAAAAAAAAAGCAATGGACAATCCTGTGCAGCAAACATGCAACGCCACACATTTAGGATGTGACAAGCAGATGACTTTGATCTTACCAGATCCATGAGAAGAGTTGACCGGGACAGCTGCATGGAAAAAAGTAAGAAAAATAATCAATACCTATTTAAGAGTTGATGCAGTTAAAATTATCAGAGAATAGTAGATTAGTACCACTTCTCCTGTCTCAGGCTTCACGTCAATATTAAATCCAATAAGGTTGTACATCATTATATTTCGTTCTTTCTCATGCTCCAGTTTTAAATGAGATGCTGTTTTCATATGGTCGTATGGAGGAGCTGAAAGTGCAGCTAAGAGAACTGATGATGCTATCAGTTGCAGATCTTTCTGACTCAGGTTCTTATTGAAGCTCTTTTGAAGTTGAAAAAGCTTAAACCATGCATAAGCATGATATAAGTGGCTGGAAGAAATCCAGAAAATCTCTGTCAACTTTGCATAATATACAGCCATCAAGGAAGATTTTGGCATTTTCTTAACCATGCTTGTCAATCCATATATATCTTCTACAGAACGAAAGGCTTCCTGCAGACACAATTGCACAAAAATAAAATACACGTACATTTAATCATCTTATACATGTCCTAAATGAGTTCATTTCAACATGAAATAAAATAAATGAAGAAAGACAGACCTGCCAGAGTTCAAGTTCAGTTGCAACTTTTAACTGCTCAAATCTAGTATCAAGATAGAAATGTAGACTTTCTGGTGATGATAGATCAGGCCGGTCCCTCTGGTCTCTGTATTTATTAAGGTTGGCAAGATGATTCCTGATTATTTCACACAGCCTACGAAACTCTGTCGTCCGTTTGTATTGCTTGCAGAACTGGAAAGCACGATGTGCGGTATCCTGCACATAGGAACTCAAACATATTATTTTGTCTATTCCAGCTACAATACTACCTAGTGAATAGAGAGAATGTTCAGTTCAAGATCCAACTCAGGATCTAGCCCCACTACAAGTGGTAACAAATGATTGTATTGGGTGGCATCCTCTGTATGGTCATTGAAACCCACCAACATAAGTGACAAGAAATTTTTGTAAACATTAACACATAAATTTAAATGGACATCAAAATGTTATCAAGCTAAAGCAAATAATTTCTTTACTACAGAAAACCACAACAAATGTAGAAATATTTACATGATTTACTCACATAAAATATCAAAAGAGATGCAGAAAATGCAAATAAGCCTCTTTTTTCTCCATACACAATATAACAGGAAATTAATGTACACAGTGGACAGCCACTTGTGACCATGGCATGAAGTTCAATAAGAAGCACATAGACCTGTCAATCATATTGCTTATATGCATGAAAACCAAATGGAAAGACAAAAAACCCCTAATTCCTAGCAGAAGATGCAGAATAAAACCATCTAGATCAGAATAGCATTCACATACGTGATTTCATAAGAACATAGAATTGTACATGTTTGTTCTCATGTAAATTTGGTCTAGAAAAAGTCAGCCAAATCATGGAAACTATTGGTGTTTCCTGTAAGGATGTCTTCAGACCCAGCAACTCATACACAAGTCTTTGGAGATTGTATCTGTATGAAGATATATGAAAACCACAAATCCTCATAAGCTGTTTCAGTTCTTTTGTGTGTAGAATGTAGATGGGGCCTCAAAGTACACGTCTTGAACAGTGGCTGGACTCTTAGAGTACTTTTCCTCAGGCTGATAAGAGAATTAGAGGCAGTGTGTTTCTATATTGATTAAGCAATGACTAAGATGAATTATTAATAAAAAGATGGCCCCACGATAATTAAAGAGTGCAGCTCCTTGTAATAAAAGAATGTAGAAATATCATTGAGTTACTCATGTTTCAACACCTTTAAGCAAAACTTACCGCATACAGAGCCATTAATTTGGAGTTGTTCCTTAAAATTTCCAGGACTGTTCTATACGTCTCCCACAAGAACTTAAACCAAGGGGTCACAAGCTCCCGATCTGAACGTTCCTTTCCCTTCTCACCACTAACATAGCTCAACATCAAATCTTCTGGTCTTTTATCAGCTTCCAAGTCATCAACATCTAGAGCTTCTTCTAAAGCTTGTGCCTGACTACGTGCCAACTCGGCCCTCTTGGTTGAAAGATCCATAAAGTGCTTGATGACCTCCTCTAACGAATTGATGTTAACTTGCTGACATATTATTCGATATTGAATCAGGCCATCCTTGGCAAATCTTCCCCTCCTCATGTCAACACACAGCTCAATGTACTTTAACATAATCTTTTCGTGTGTTTTCTGCCATGCACGGTACCTCCTCGATGTGATAAGATCATGAAGCACTTGCAATGCATCTTGTTTCTGCCCAACATTGATCAGCTCTGCGGTTCCATATTGGCTCAAGTCAGTTAATTAGATACAAAATAAGTCACATGTACACTGACAGCCCCACAACTAAGCATGAAACCAAAAAAATAAACACTGAAATACTGAATTATATATTCAGAGAGTATTCTCAATGCATGGTAATGCAAAAGAAGGTGGCTCGTCATAGAGTTAAATTAAAATTTAAAATCTTAAGTTTTGATGGTCAAAAAGGAAGAAGAGATGACATAGCAATAGTCAAATACATAACACCGAATGAGACAACACAACACCACAAGGTTCCCCACCTTTAGCATAGTAAATCTAGGAAGGCAGATATTGAGGACATGCAAAAGAAATTAATGGCTTGAGCGTGTTTAGATAAAAGTTAAACATGAAAATGTGAATGGAAACTGAACTTCTGTTTGAATTGCAATTACAAAAGCCTTGAAGTTTCTTTTTAGCAAGGAGATATATATTAGAAATTATTTAAAAAAAAAACTACATAGTTCACCTTCAGCACGCTTCAATGCATTCTCTGGTTTAGCAAAGGTTGCCATATCTATAACAGATGTTTTCTACCTGTTACAACATAAAAAAAGCTATTAGTTGGTAGCTATAGTTGATCTTTGAGGAATCATGCTAAAACAGAAGAAGAGAAAACTACTTGGCTACATATTGAAAAACATGTCCGTAAAAGAACAAGGAGGTGAAATATGGTAGCACCACTGCTAATGGACAGCAGTACACCACAATTTCAAAAGCATATTTCACCCATGCTGCATATTTTCATCCCAAACAATGCTTCAAAGATGACAAAGCGTTTTAAAAATAGTTTGAGGACTAAGGAAATCAAAAACAAAACACAATTCAATTAAAATAATTCCCCATCATCTACTTAAAAGAGCTGGAAAAACTCTTTTGCCTCAAGTGACTGATAGAAAAGCATCCAAAATATGCATATCAACTACTCATCTATATCAGATGGCATTAAGAAGCAACTTTCTAATTCTTGAAAGCGGGTTTCATCGATTCACTCAATCCTCCCTTACCTCGAATGATCAAGCAATCGCCCACCCAAAAGAACCCAGAATTTCAACGAGGTACTAGATCACGATAGAAATTTTCAGTTTTTCCTTATAATCAATTCCTACTCCCCAAACAAAGCAGAGCAGTCATCGGCAAGAACTTAAATATTTACAGCAGTTATTTACACATGTCAAACCGCACCAAAATTATTGCTAACGCCGAAGTAAAAGTAATCAATCAGGTAAGACATCGATTGATAACCAGTGGCAACAGCTTGAATCAAACAGACAGAATAATGACTTTGTGAATCGAACAAATGGATGAAAAAGAACTACAACGGTGGCAAAATCATACCTCAATCGTCGATGAAACAATCAGTATCCACCACGTCCAACTGGCCGTGAATGTGTGCTGTTTAGAGAGTAGGGTTTTAGCGATTTCCAATGGACTTCACTCCGGCCTCAACAGTAGATATCCCCTTTGCCCCCAAGTTGCCTTTTATACTCTTTTTGGACTTGACTTATTTCATTTCTGGTAATGGTAATTATTTCAAAAAAATTATTTTTTTTAAATCAGATTTAGGGTCTTTATTCAAACACTTACCCGATAGGTGTTTACCAATAAAATTTAACATTATCATGTACTTACTGGGTAAGATTTTAGTTCACTAAAACGACATAGTATACAATAATTTACCTAGTAAGCGCTTACCATGGTAAGAGTCGTCGCCCTCACTTACCGGGTAAGACTTTTGATCATTGTCTCGCTCTTACCTGGTAAGATTCTTGGTTCTTACTATGTTCATCCGGTGAGGTAATGTTACTTGGTAAACACTTACCCGGGTAAGCGACCCCTAAATAGTTTAAATTTTTCAATTTGTAGATTTATGTTTACAAAAGTTTATTTAAAATAACATTATTTCTGTTATGATATAAATGAATAGAACAACAGTCAAACATTTTCGTTTTCATTTGTTTTATGTTTAAATCATTTATAAACTACCATCAAATGCTCCATCTCATTGGAAATAACACTGTTTTATTAAGTTTATAGTATTTTGTTGTTTTTCTTTTGCATAATTTCTTTTTGGTCCGTACCATTGTTCATCTTACATAAATCTTCTAGGTAACATTTATATTCAATTCTATACTTTTTGTGAGTCATATGTTGTTGATATGTGTATATGTGTGTTTCTTTTTGATTGGTACCATTGTTTTTTTTTTTCCATACGACTTTTTATATTTTGTGTGTATTATATAGTGTTGTAAATAGGTTTTTGATTTTTTATTTGAATATTATTTACAATTGTTACATTTATTTTTTCTCTCTTATACTTTCAAATTGTTGATTATAAGAGCATCTCCAATCAACCAGCAATTTTAGGGATTTGCCGTTTGTGACCTCTCCAATCGACCGACAAATGAATTTAGGTTTTGCCGGATCCCTTATTTGAACGGCAAATATGCCGTGGGTTTCTTGAACGGCAAAACCAGTGGGACCCGTTAATTTGTATTAAAAACCATTTTTCATTTAATAATTTAGGGGTTGATTGAGTTATTTTAATGTGGGATCTACAAATTTAGTGTTTTTTTTAGAGTATGATTGAAGTTGAGTTTTTTAGTGTTTATGTACCCTCCATATTTAGTGTTTTTGGTGTTTTTTTTTTATGATAAGGTTGGAGTTGCCCTAATAAGGAACAACATCATCCAATGATGTGGCACAATGTATAGTACGAATTGTGGGTATGAATTTTCTCAAAATTTTGATTTTCTAAAATGTTTAATATGTAAATGATTTCTCCACTCCTAAATGAAATATGTGTGTTTCATTATTAGACTCAGTTTTTTTTTTTTTTTTTTTTTTTTTTTTTTGTAATTCCTCTTCATTCATGGGTTTAACCTATGACTATCCTTTTTAATTCTCAACCCTTAAAATTTACTTGGTAAGGATGAAATGGAGGCAAGAGACATTTAAAGAATAGACATGGAAGAAGTTCATTGAGAAGTAGGCATATCAAAGAATTCCCAATCAGGAAGAATAATACATTCAATCACTAACATCTTGAACATGTACGTAATCATAATCTTCTCCAAGGAAAGTGGGCCAACAAGTTCATGTGATCTTTTTGTTATGTATTCTTCCAATGTGATTGATTAAAGTTGTTGACATGTATATAATGGAGTATGCAAGTAAATGTCACAATGTTATATTTTTTTTTTGTTTAGAGATTTCAACAATAGATATCACTCTCTCTGGAATTTTATGTCTACTATTTATTATTATTTGAGTTTTTTAGACATGGAATTGCTTTCTATTATGAAGTTATAACTTGATTACTGAAGTTGTAGAATTATGATACTTGAGTATTTTATTATGATTATAGAGTTATCATACTAATGGACTGTAGTTATCATTATTTATGATTATATTTCCCTCATATATTAATGTTTAGTGATTTCTCAGGTACATGTGGAAAATCTAAACGGACTCAAATTATAGTCGAAGCCACAGACCTTTGCAAGATAAGAAATGATATTTGTTGTTATCATTCTTAGTTACTTTTGTATATTATGTTTATATTTGGAGATAAAATCATTCAATTTCATGACTTTGATTGTTTATTTTTTGAAGGGAAGTATATATATATATATATATATATATATATATATATATATATATATATATATATATATATATATATATATATATATATATATATATATATATATATAGGGTTGGGTTCACGTGAGACCAAGAATTTTTCGTGAGACCCGTAAGACCAATTTATGTTCATTGATCAACTTTATAAGCTAATGATCTAATGATCTAAAGTTGCACGGTGATAATTTTATGATTATTGAGAAGTCTCATGGCAATTTTGTGATTATGAATGTTCAGATTGTAGATCTAATCCAAGGATTAAGAATTGGTCTTACGGGTCTCACGAAAAAACCTTGGCCTCACATGATCCTAAGTCTATACATATATCATCAATATATTTAAAAACTCATTATATAAATGAAATTACGATCAATTTATAAAAAAATTATTTACATGATACTCATTATAATAATATGTATATTTTTATTTACATAATAATAAATTGATTATAATGAATACAAATAAATAAAATGAAGGTAATGATTAATCAAGTCAATATAATATATACAAATTTTTATTAACAAATTTTACATTATAAAAAAATTACGTTAATTCAAATAACATAATTAGATAATATTAATTCTCTGAATTAATATACTCGTTCCATAAATGATCAATAAATGCATTTTGAAGTTCAAAGTGAGCGTCAATATCCTTGATTTTTTTATGTTGAGCAAGAAACTAATCAAGCGTATCATTGTTATCGTTCACCATCTCATCTCAACTCCACATCTGGCAATTCAAGTCGTTCTTCAATTGGTGCATTAATATCATGTTCATTTTCTATGATTATATTATGTATAATGATGCATGAAGTCATTGTATTATACAATATTTTCTTCCTCCATAACTGTGCAGAGTCTGCTACAATTGCAAATCTTGATTATAATACGTCAAATGCATGTTACACGTCTTTTCTACATATTTCTATCTTATTGCAAAATGTTTTTTTAAGCCCATGTGGATCATGAATAGATTGAAACAAGGGTGACTATTTTAGATATATGTCATCAGCTAAATAACAACCCATGATTTTCCATTGATGACGTAATTGACAAGAAGAGCATTGCTTGTTGCAAGATTTGCAAAAAGATGGGCAGGCCCATTCCTGACATTTTATAGGCCCTGGACGAACATAAAAACAAGGCTCACCGCAAGAAACAAGGCTTTTAGCAACAACAAAAAAGTCCATTTATCATTAGAAGGAGTATATAACAACAACATGTCATCGCTATAACTTGTGGTGGAAACATGTCATCGCTAAAAGACGCATCGTCAAAGTTAACTTTTCTTGTAGTGACCCTCAGCAAGTACGAATAAATGTTTTTCATTAGTATAAAATTGAGTACAAGAAATGCTAATAATTTACTGTTAGATCACTTTAAGATCAGTCTTCAATATATCTCATGAATCCATGGCAGATCTGGATTTATCATTCAAGAACTTTGAGAGGAGAGTTGAGAGAAATAGTCAAAGTGGTCAAAC